ACGGGGGGGTGGGGGGGAACAAACCAGACTATTTTATCAATAACTGGCCTGTCTTCCTTCATATCCCTGAATTCAGCATCTAATCACATCTTGGAATGTTGCCAAAGCCTGACTATTGGATTGTCATAAAGTAATATTGTAAAAATGGGCCCATTTCATGCCATCTATTGCTCTCCACTTTGTAGCAAGGAATGATGGCATAGTATTTAGAGCTGACTAGGAATATGTGAAGCCAGAAGGGTGAGGAGATGCCTCAGGTCAGGAGAAATTTGACAAAATAAGCAAAAAACTCTGAACTGGGGTGTGGGGAGGACATAGAGAGGCCCTCCAAGGCAAAATCTGAAGTAGGAAGCAACAGGAATTTCAGAGTGGAAAACATGCACGTTGACCTTGCTATGAGAAACCTTTTCATTTAACTCTAATCCTGTTCTAACTGGTACTGAGGTAAGGGGATGCTGGGAAATCCCTGGGAAAGGCCTTGTCTGGTGAGGCTTTCACAACCTCTTGGGCCAGTTCCTTGAAATGGCCAGTGAGGTCTGTGGCTGTCCTAGGAGCTTAGAGAAGTCTTCAACCATAGAGGTCCTGGCAGCCATCTGACATGGGATGCAATTGGTATGAGTCCCACTGCTCATTCTGATGGACTTCCAGCAAAAGTAAGGTTGCCTTCTGCTTCTATCTTCCATCTAAAAGGCAGGAATGCTAGGCATTCAAGACACACAGACTTCAGGACTTGTGTGCTCTTGGGGGGAAAATATCACTACAGCCTTCTCCCCAACTATATCATAGCCAGAATTTTACCCATGCAAGATTCAGAGTAGAACGTTTCAACATGGTAGATGCAAGTGGGGCTGCAACCTACAAGACACGCTGCTGCAGGGGGAATCTTCAGCTCATCCTTTTCCCTCATGAGCTATCATGCTGAGTATATTCAAGTCTCTTTTCAAGATGGTGTAGTTTGTCCCTAGAGAAGCCTTATCCCAAACTTGCCACCCTCCAAATGGCCATGCTGGTTGAAGAACTCTTGAGTTGAATCCACAAATCTTGAATGTGCCTAATTGATGGTTATCCTGGAGATTGTGACCAAGCTCACCCATTGTGCTTAGGCACAAGGTAATTTTATTTTTGGCCTAGTACACTGTGCATACCAAGCCACTTTGGTCTGTAAACCATCATTTATGGCTTACTGCAGAAGTGCGAATCCCATAGCTTTCATTCCTTCTTTTGCATGCCCCCTTTGATTTTCAGCAACATGAGCTGTTAGCAAGGGGAACCATGCCTTTTTTCACCTTTTAACCCTTATTTCCAACTTTCTATAAACAGACTC